CACATGCCAGCCAGCCCCGCCCCCTGGTGGGCTGAGCTGGCCACACACACACACACACACACACACACACACACACGCACACACACACAAATAAATTTTTCAAAAAATTTAAAAAAAAAAAGTTACATGGAAGGGGCCGGGGAGATGGCTCAGTAGAATAAGAGTTTGCCTGGCAAGCTCAAGGGTCTGAGTTCAATCCCCGGTTCTGTGAAGAAAAAAAAAAAAGTTACATGGAAATGGTCAGCTTTTTAAAACTTTATATAATTAATATCTAACTTCATAAAAGTGTTGCTCATGATCTGAACAGTATAAGCTGCAATTTGTGTTCCTTATGAAAAAGATGGGTGATTTCCATAGCATTTCAAATATGTATACTTACGTGCATGCTATAAGTCCTTGATAAGCTTTCCTCTTTATTATCAGCACCTAGATAAAATAGAAAACCCTCTTGCACTTTACTCTTTTACTTTCCAGGCATTGTCACCTCTCCCAAAGATGACCACTATTTAGATTCCCTATGGTATAAATTGATCTCATCTATTTATGCTTTACATATATGAAATCATGTAATATGTTCACTTTTGTATTTTTTTCAGGCATTTTCTACTTTAATTTTTTTATTATTATTTTTTTTTTAATTAGTACAGGGTCTCACTAAGTAGATCTGGACTCATAGTGGTCCTCCTGTTTTCAGCATCTCAAGCACAGGGATTACAGGCACACGCCCCTGCACCCAGTCTCAGGCCGTCTCAGCGAGCTCGGGGGGCAGGGCGGCACTGGCACAGCATGCTGGGGATGGTAGGGGTGTTTTCTACTTTGCACCTTTTGTGATGGCTCCTTGGAACTTCTATTTGCTTTTACAATTGTGAAGTGCCATCTACTGGTAGGAAGTAGTATCATAGTAGTATCATAGGTGATAGTAGCGGTACATACTGTATTGTGTGAGGAAGGGTGCATGGTGGTGAGACTCCTGTTCATCATTTTGCTGAGAGGATCTCCAGAAACAAATAGCATGATAAGCAGTTACTTCCAATTAAACATATGGCAACATTCAATTTGAGAGGACTTACGATGATAATACTGGAAAATGATCATTGTGTACTATAAGAAAACAACTCAGGTGTCAGTTTCATCTTGTGCACGACTCAGTGAAAAAATGAAACTATCCATTTTAAACATAATTTACTACCTTTTAAAATAAGACCAAGCCTTTTAAAATTTATATTAGATGTGGCACTGGAAAAAGAATTGTGACACTTACTTTGATAGGAGTTTAGGAATTTTGGTAAAAAGTTAAATGTTGAAAAGGATCTTTCAGATCATCTGATCCATATCACTAATATTTTAGAAAACTAAATGGGAAGTAGTAAAAGCATATCCATCAGGTCACTCAGCTAATGTTAAGATGGCATTCGAACTTAGCTATTACTCCATGTATGACCTCTTTATATTTGCTCTTCATGGTTACCAAGTCTAAAAGTGTCTAATAGTAACAAAGAGTTGATTTTATACTAAGTTCAGAGTTAACCAGCTGCAACATTTTGTTTTTTTGGTTTTTTGGGTTTTTTTGGCGGAACCAGGGATTGAACTCAGACCCTTGTGCTTGCTAGGGAAGCGCTTATTCCACTGAGCCATCTCCCCAGCCCCTCAGCTGCAACATTTTTATAGACAAACTTAAGGATTCATTCCATTGAACTCTTCATGCTCTGAATTTCTTTTGAAATTTACTGAAACATGTATCAGAAAATCCAATTATAGAATGCTACACTTCAAACAGAAGTTCTTAAGCTTCATTTAAAATCTCCATGTCTTTCTTCGACTTCCAACTCTAGTAATCTCAACCTGAAGTCTGTTTCAACAGAATTCTGATTTTTTCTTTCCTCTTTGTACAACTGGTTCTCTTGTTGCTCTGAGCAAGTTTTATCTGTCTTTGTACTATTTACATTTTGAACCAAATAATTCTTTAATGTGAGAACTGTCCTTTACATTGTAGTGTATTCATTATTTCCTGGCCTCTGCTTACTAGATAATGGCACAAACTCATCGTGACAAAAATGTCTCCAAGGTCTGGGGGAAAGTTCAGCAGTGTCAGCGCCTGCCTGGCAAGTGCAAGGACCAAAGTTTGATCCCTGAAATCTCATGCATGCTGGCCCTGGACCAGCCCCAGAATCCCCAGCATGCCGTGCCGGCCACCAAAACCAGATGTGACTGAGACAAAAGGATCACTACAAGTCCAAGCTACTTGTCAAGAGCCTGTACCAATGAAATAAAAGATTTTTTTAAAAAGTCTCCACATATTGCCAAATATCCCTTAGAGGAAAAAACCTTTCTCACCTAAAGTCAAATTAACCAGCTGCTGCTTATCTGACAGTCCTACCCCTAGTTGAGAAACATTGATTAAAGTTCCTTCTAACTTAATGGTCCTCAAAGGATTTTGTTGTTGTATTTTAGGGAAGGCTCTATAGGGTGTTCAGGGTCTCACTAATAGATCAGACTCATAGTGATCCTCCTGTTTGTAGCCTCCCAAAAACTGGGATTACAGGCACGCCACCATGCCTAGGCACTTTAATCCGCTGAGGTATCTAACCAGCCCTAATTTTTTTAATGAGGTTTGAGTATCAGTATTTTTTAAGTTTCGAGGTGCTTTATTATGCAAGCAGAACCATAAAAATCTAAGGGAATAAAAGCTATAGCTACAATCATAGATTTCAGAGAGAAAAAATGACCTGATCAGACCAAAATCAAGGATTTGTTCTATCACCCACTTAATGAAATCTTTCCTGACACAAATGCTGGTTTTATCTTTCCCTTTCTTGTATAGTAGTTAACATCACACCATTTTGCACTTGGTTATATTGCACTAGTATGCAGTTGTAGTTTAGGGGTTGGTTTTGTATTAAATTTTCCCTCCCACATCTACCAAGTAGGAATCCAACTTTTTATTGAAATAGCACTAAATGCAATAGTAACCTTTTATTTTTGTTCCCTCTGCTAACCAGGGTAGTTTAAAGTTTCTTAGGTTTGGTTTTGTTTTTGTCTGCCCTCTCCTTTGTCAGTAGAACACAGGTAAGCTGTAATTTTATCCAAAAGGTTTAAATTAAGACTTTGAGCATTTGACTTCCATTTATTACTGGAAGTTCTCCTAATCACTTAAAGCTGTGTCCATATCAGAAGCATATGGAGTGCTGCCTAATTGCTGTCTGTAGTGCTGTGAGAAACGGATGAGCTTTCTGTTACATGTTCCTGGACCACTGGATGTACGTGTAGGGAAGGAATGGATTTTTTACTCATGCCCTACACAAAACTCACTTCCAAATGATTGCAGGTCTACATGGGGAAGTGTAGAGCTTTTAAGGGAAAAAAGACTGACAAAGACTTCAAAATCAGAACACTGCCATACAAGGGTAAAAATTGAGTAGT